ATATGGCTCTCTAGAGGGATTTCTAGAGAAAACACATCTGTTTCCCACAGTGGTGATCAACTTTGTACACACCCTTCATTTCACTTTCCTTTTAGCTCAATTTTACTTTTCCACATCCCTACTCCTATTCCCTGAGATTGTTGACTGAATTAAGTAACTACATGCAAACTCTTGTCATAGGGTCTACTCTGAGTATGGTGTAGAACTTTTAAATATAGAATTTATGCTTGTTATAGAAAATCAGAAAACACATGTAGGTGTTTAAAAGAAATATTCATGCAAGATCCTACCAACAGAMATAAACTTTCTAGAAGGTTGTCTATGCATATACATATATATGTACTTTTGTACTTACTATAAAAGTATATATAAAAAGTACATATATACTTTTTATATATACTTTTATAGTATATATATATATACTATATGTATATATATGTTTATGTATATATGTTTWTATATATATATATATATATATATATTCATAGATGCTTTTTTGTTGTAGATGGACACGATACCTTTATTTATTTACTTACTTATTTTCACATGATGCTGAAGATTGAACCCAGTATCTTACATGTGCTAAGCAAATGCTGTACCACCGAACTAACTACACACGAGCATGCATATCCTTTTTTTAATATTTATTTTTTTAGTTGTACACAATATCTTTATTTTGTTTATTTATTTTTATGTGGTGCTGAGGATCAAATCTAGCATAGCCTTGCACATGCCAGGCAAGCGCTCTACCATTGAGCCACAACCCCAGCCCACATGCATATATTTTTTGAAAAAAATAGAACTAGAGTTTGTTTTTTAAACTTGCTCTCATCTTTTATATTATAAACATCTTTTTATGTGTCTCTTTGTAATTTAAAAAAAAATAACTTCAAAAGCTTGCATGGTGGCCCACTAGACTCTAAACTCTGTGGCCCTTAGGTGTTCTTAATATAGTGAGACCATTGTCTCATATTTCATTACTGTTTAATAAATGTTTGTTGAAATGATTCTTAAAAACTGAGTTTAAAGTCAGGTGTGGCTGTGCATGCCTGTAATCCCAGTGACTTGGGAGGCTGAGGCAGGAGGAATGTGAGTTCAAAGMTAGCCTCGGTCATTTAGTGAGACTCTGTCTCAAAAATAAAAAAGGCTGGGAGTGTGACAGTGATAGAATGCTTGCCTAGCATGTGTGAGGCCCTGGGTTTAATCCCCAGACCACATACCCCCCGCAAAAAAAAAAAAAAAAAAAGAAATACTGCATTAGTATAAGTACTCTATAACATAGTGCTACCACATGTAGTTCAAACCAGTCTCTCACACTTAGATATTAAGTTGTTTCCCAGTTTTTTTTTTGTTTTTTTTTTTGTCAGCTTTGCATTGTTTGACCAAAAGACTTGACAAGAACAACGTAGATTATTTGGTGCATGTTTCAGAGGTTTCAGAGTTTCAGTCCACAGTCAGTCCACTCCACAACTCTGGACCCAAGTTGAGGCAGAACATTATGGCAGAGGGAAGCAGCTCAGGACATGGCAAGCAGGAATGAGAGAGAGAGAGAGAGAGAGAGAGAGAGAGAGAGAGCGCAAGCGCTCCATTCACCAAGGACAAAATATAAGCCTCAAAGGCACGCACCTAGTGACCCTTCTCTTTTAGCCATACCCCACCTGCCTACTGTTACCACTCAGCTAATCCATATCAGTGTATTAATCTGATTGTCTCACCTCTGAACGTTCTTGCATTGTCTCACACAAGAGCTACTGGGGGCTGCCTCATATCCAAACCATAACACTGGATTTGTTATTCTAATGCAGTGCTCTGATTTATATACTTAAAGGTATTTAAGAAGTATGAGTATATCATAATGATTGAAAGCACAGCTCTGGACTCAAACTGATGGATTAAAATATTCTGTTATATAATTTAAAACAAGTTGCTTAACTTCTCTAAGCCTCAGTCTCCTTGTGTAAGAATGTGATAAGAATAGATAATAATAATAGCAGGTGATACATCATAGAGTACTATAAACAGTCAAAGCACTTAGAATAGTGCCTATGGAACAATAACTGTTCAATAAAAGTTAGCCATTATTACAAGATTGTTACAGATTATTTCCTTAGGATTAGTTCCTAGGAATAGAATTTCTTGGTCAAAAGGTATATGTTTTTGAGGTTTTGCTATAAGTTGCCAAATTTAGGCTGTATTARTAGTCAAAAGTAAATATTCATATTGTTGCTCAAATCAATAACATTTATATGGATACAAATATATGAACTATTTTTAATACAAGAGGATAAGCACAAATATTCTTAAAAATCACATATTTTGATTTTGGAAAAAGTATAGAGAGTCATCTAGTTAAATCTTTTATCAGTGAGGATAGGGCCCAATGTTTTATCAGTGAGGATAGGCTCRCACGTGCTGTGGTGACAAACTATTCCATTAACTCAGTAACTTAAAACAACAAAGGTTATTTCTCCTTCATGCTACCTGTCCAATATATTGTAGTGTAGCGGTGGTGGAAAGGAGGGTGTTTACTACTTAGAAGTCATGCACTCAGGATAATCAGGATTCCATCTGGTTAGATGCTTCCATGATCCATAAGGCAGGAAAAGGGGACAGTGGCAAAACACACACTGACTTTATAGCCTCAGCCTGATCATGACTCATATTAGTTCAACTTGTCTTTCATTTGTCAAGCAAAATATGGCCAAACCTGCCTTGACAGTTTGGAGAACTATACTCTTATATACTCAGGAGAGAAGAAGCAGGGCATATTTGTGAACAGTCTTAATGACTACTGGCAAATAGACTTTTTTGGGGGGGGGTTATTGTCACCTTTTAAATTT